TTTCTTTCTCGGCTCGCATCCTGTTTTTGTTTTTTGTTTTTTTGTTGGTTTTGTTGATTTACTGTAAGATGCTTGTAAAAGGCCAACCTGGCTAGTGTCTTTTGAGAAATAAAATAAAATAAAATAAAATAAATATTTTAAAAGACATACAAACGATGATAGTACTACAATGACACAAAGTGGTTTGGCCAACTAGGACCCAGAGCCAACAGGAAAGCCACGATTTTGAGCAGAAAGCCTACCATCACCCAATCTATAATCAAAACAATTGTTTTGATCGTGTTGGATGATTCTTTTTTCTCAGTCAAGTGCTAAAGGTTTTTTGGGAAGATAAAATTCTGTCCTTTGTAGCAAGAGTGGGGTTGGAAAAGAGAACGACACACATTAGAATTTTGAACCATACCCAAAACAAAGTTTTTCTGCCTCTGCATACAAATGTTTGTTTAATTAATATAAAATGTATTTCTATATTGTATAGTTTAGAAAGTGAATCAAATACAGGTAACCCCGTATAAAACGGCACTTCTATAGCACGGATTCACTCTAACACAGTTCAAGAATTGGGAGCATCCCCCGTATAACATGGTGTTTTTATAGCACGGGTTCACTCTAACACAGTTCGGTAATTGGGTAAAACCCTCGTACAACATAAAATGTAATAAAGGGTGCGTTCTTTTATACCTCTGCGTGAGCATTCTAATTGTTTTCGTGGCTACTTTGAACGCTCTTTCAACAAATAATCCATTTAATGGTTAAGTTTTACAATTGGGACCCTTCTTTAGCCTCTAAAAGTTCATTTTAGAATTATAGATTCCTCCACACGATACTATCGATAGTGCAGGTGCCGCCATCTTTCTTTCACCGTCGTTCCTAAATGCCTACAAACAGCAGCACACTCCCGTTGCAGAGCAACCGCTATTAACGAATGCACCCACAAACTGTTACCAGTTGATGATGCTCATGCTGAGATCATCATATAAAATGAATAATCCTCTGGTAAAATATTTACTTAAATAATAAATAAGTATTTTACCTATGAATAAAATGAATAATAAATCCAATTTAAATAAGGATTTAACAACATGTTTTTTTTTTTATTTTTGGAACCTAACCCACCTTTTTGCACTAGTTCTTTGTTTCATATAACACAAATTCACATAACATGGCAATTTTCTGGACGTAACTCCATGTTATACAGGGGCTACCTGTACATCATTTTTAGTTACAATTTCATTATCAAAATGGTAAAAAATGTTATGCATTGAATATAATACAATTGTTAAAGCTGAACTAATCACTGCAGTTAATTTAATGCAGTGTTTTTCAACCTTCTTGAATATGCAACCCCTTTACAAGTTAAAAAATTCTGGCGACCCGCAGGGCCATATTAAAACTATGTCAGTGATTTTAAAAACTACGTATTTAAGTTTCTTTCTGTTGAGACCTAAATATCGATCAAAAAACTAATTGTACTGTAAAATAAACAGACACAGCCTTCTCACTGAAATTGTAGTTTTTTTATTGTAGTGTAGGACCTATAAACACTTGTCTTTTTCTTTTACCCGCGACCCCCATGTATGGCTTTGCGACCCACCTGGGGTCGCGACCCACAGGTTGAAAAACACTGATTTAATAAATTAAACAATGCATCTTTACAATAGATAAGATTGTAGAAATGCTAAAATTTTCATTCTGATTAATAGCCCATCTTCAGGTGTGAAGAGAGTTAAGAAAAAACATTAGTGGAAAGATGGGTGTTAAGAAAGACAAGATAAAATAAATAAGCAAGAAGTAGATAATGGTGTGTGGTGTAAAAGAGTAAAAAGAAATTGTCAGGCAGAGGAAGGGAGTCCTTGTCTTTGCCATTTAAACATGTCTTGTAACAGTTTTATTAAGGATTTCATAGTAAACAGCTTCTTGTCTGTATTACTAATTTTTTGAAAAAATAGTTAACTAGAACCAATGAATCATGCTATGATTATAATTAGCCTGATTCATTAATTCTAGTTAACTACTTTTAAAAAAATAATGGCTAGAATTACAGAAAGAGTTTCAAAGTCCGTTACATATTATTTAGTTGGCATCAGGAAACAGCATCAGGTTGAACATTGGTGCTGTCCTCTTTTGTAGTCCAAACAGTCTAGAATTGTCACCTAGAGACGAGTAAATCAATCAAAAAGTGGCAGAAAGTAATGATGACCAATTAAAATGCACGACTGGAGAGGGAACCTTTTAGAAACTTGTATCTCAAGAATACAAGGTTCTTTGGCAAGATTCCACACTTTTCATCAAAAATACATCCTTCTTTCACAAAGATCAGCTCTTTATAAAGACCTTTTTTCTCCAAAATCTTCAACAAGCTTTTCCTCAATTGTCAAGACATAAGTTCCTTCCTTTCTTTGTTTAATTTTCTTTATATATATTTCTTTATTATAATTTACATATAATTGAAACTATCAGTTGACAAAAGATTTCCACCTCCTGAATAACATAGTTTATCTCAAAATACAATCAAAAATAGCAAAAATAAAAAACTAAGTAAAATCTTTTTTAAATTTATTTTAAAACAAAATAAACAAATGATAAAAGGGAATAAAGATCATAAATTATGAAGAAAGCATTAACAAAGATGTTTACTGTATATTGTATAAAATCTTGATGAACATTATATGTTCGATGGGCAACATATAATCAATGGATCGATAAAAAAAGAATCTGTGACTTAATGCTAAATGATAAAAAGGTGTATGTATACAAGACTGTGATCTACTTATTCTGGAAGGAACTTTCAACATGAGCCAGTAATTGTTTATGATGTCATTAAAATATTTATAGGTTAAAATTCAGTCAAAATGATTCACTCTTCCTTTAGAACTATTAGTCTGACTCTTGCAACATTGGCATTGTTAGTGTACAGGAGATGGCAAAATTTGTTTATAAGGAAGTAAACTTTTTGTATTTCTTTAATAACTTTGTTTAATAAAGAAGGAACTGTCATTGCCCAGATTAGTAAGCAATAATCTATTAAAGACTGTAAGTTTGTAAAAAATATCATCCTTAGTACAGTTTTTGATGACATGGGTCTACAAAATCACCATAAAATTCCTCGGCAGATTGCAATAGATTTTGCAATTTTTTCTATATGACCTTTGAAGGTTAATTTATTGTCAAAGATTACAGCCAAGTCACTAAACAAAGTTACATAATTTAGAATATGATTATAAATGTAAAAATGAAGAAGTGGTGGACCTCTAATCAGAGAGAAACACATCACTACAGTTTTACGAATATTGATTCTTAAATTTACTTCACTAAAAGCCAAAGAAAGAATTTTAAGGTCATTTGTAGAACTTTAGAATCATCATTTAGGAGTTTTTCACATCAAGCGAGGAACAATGACTTTGACAAAATTCTTTTAATCTATTTCATCCTGTTTTATCAAAAATTTCTGCTTTATTGCTAAATTACTTTTGCATAATAATCTGAAATGGTATGACATGCACTCATTTCATGGCTTAAGTAAGCAACTCATAGTCAGATTCAGATATTGCTTTATCTGCTTTTCGGTTGCATTACTTATATGCTTATCATTTGGTAGATCTTATATGGTTGTATAAAATTTCTTCATATATTATTTTTTCTTTTTAAATAGTATAAAAATATCACACATATACAAAGAAAAAATTTCTTGCTTTTGTTTTTCTTTTCTGTCATTCACAGCAGTGACAGTCCAAAACAAGAATTCTCACACATGGACCACCTTTTCTTTCATGTTCAATTTGCATGTTTCAATTTGCATTCATGTTTCAATTGCTTTTCATGTTTCAATTTGCATTCTATTGTGGAGGCTCCACCTCCACAATAGAATGCAAATTGAAACAGCATCCTCTGGAAATTTTGCCAATATCACTGGTGTGAACGACAAGCAGGATAGAAAAGAAAAATGAAAGCAAGAAATTTTTTCTTTGTATATTTGCAATATTTTTATATTTTTTTAAAATTAAATACCATCGACCAAATTTTATATTTTTATAATTATCCATATTATTAATTACATATTTTAATCTTTTAACATAATTTATTTATTTTTCTCATTTATATATCTTCATTAATTTTCAATAAAAAACAGCTAAAACCTTAGTAAATCCTGTATAAAAATTTAATTTAATTTTAGAAATATTTTAACATTTTAGAACAATGCAGATCTTCCATCAGGTCATTTATGTTCTGTAAATGAAATACACTGAAGAATGCATTTTAAAATTTAAAACTATCGTATATTATTACATAATTGTTATTTTTCATTTTCCTGTTCGAAAAATAAAATCTATTTAAATGCTATCAGAAATTTTAAATCCGTGGATTATTTTTTAGAATGTACTAGTTTAGAATGTTTTTTATATGGAACATTCAATTTTTTCTTTTTAAAAACAAACGAAAGCCTATTAATAAGGCCAAAAACATTTTCTTCTCATTAAATACTGCTGGAAAGTGAAAACATTTTTTTGCTGATATATAATGTACATACTGGATAACTATAATATATATAAAATGCACCTTTAATAATCCAGTAAATAAATATTAGTATTAGAGATCTTTGAAACGCACAAGAGGACTGGTTGCATCAACCATAGGGATGCAAACACATTAGCTACTGCATGGCAGTCCTCTTACAAAAATTAATGTTATTAAGAGACATTTTTATTTTTTATTTTAGTTTTCTTTTATTACATAGCATTTTCAGCTTAATTTATATTATTGATTGCAACTACATTTTCCATTATTTATATTTTCATATTTATGTTCTATTTTGGTGTTCTATTTTTTATGTTAACTGAGTAAGATCATTAAAAAACAGTCGAAAATGTTTTAAAACTAATATTTATTTGCTGGATTATTAAAGGTGTGTTTTATTAACATATTTTTGCATAAATTTGTTACCATATTATTAGTTTTGTTCACAATTTATATAGCTTTTTAGCTTTTCTTAATAAATTTACCTTTATGTCCATCCATTCCACCAATAATATATAAACTACCAACGGTAGACTTTCTCGGTTTGGTACGTGGTGACTGTAACATAGATCGTCTTTCGGGAAGCAGATGATACTTAAGTGCTTCCATAATTAAATCTTGACACATACGATCCTCCCTAAATAAGGGATTGGCCTCAACATGGTCTGCAATAAACTAAAGAAATATAAATTAATGATTTATACATTAAAAAAAAATCTAAAGAAAATTACAACTATTATATAACAACTTTAAGAATAGTGATAATCCATTTTCAGTTTAAATTCATGTATAATGGATATCCAACAACTTGTTATATTGTACAAAAGAATTCATCCTACATTAATAGAACTTGTTAGTTGGCATAGTCATCTTCTATAAAATCATTGTGTACATTTATGCATTCACTCCATCTATGCTTCATGTGTGTTAAATTTCACAATACTAGATGTTATCGTAAAACTAATCTGGTTGCTCAAAAAGCCATTCTTTTACTAGAGAAATCACCTCCCTATCACTATTCAATTGCTGCACACAAATTGTTGCTGTTGAGAACATATCACATAGGAAACACTTTCAGAGGAAAAAGATTGTTTTATTAGTGTGAATGGATATGCATTTCGGGCTTAATGCCCCTCTTCAGTCCTATTATTACATATTTATCAGTATATTGATTACAGGTTTACAAATTTACATAATGCACTGAAAAAATTAGGAAACACGTACAATTGTTTATATAATAAAACTTAATTACCTGAGATAGTGAAAGTTAAACCAACATGACTCGTAAGAAGATATACACATAGTTGAAAAAGGAAAAAGGAGCTAAAAATTCTTTTGACTCCACACATATACACATTATGATAGTATAACATGTGTTAAAATAAAAAAGGGGTGAACTTAAATCTAAAATTAAATATATATTACGAGGTAGAATTTTAAAAATTATTAACGGAATACCCGTAAGGTGTGAAATAATTCTGATGAGATGTGCAGAGAACAGACAAGATATGAGAGGTTAAAAAGAAGTGAGTAAACCTTGTAACATACACTGAAAGTTTGGTTGATTTGCACAGTGGGGTATGATAGAGGGAGGGGGTAGAACATCTTAATGGGCTTTGCTACTTAAGAATGGCTGCCAGATGTCATTTATGACTGCACCTGTATTTAAGTTTATTCTGTGTGTTTCTTTAGTTATAATAATTTCAATGTGTTCATATAATTTTCTTTTAATATATTTTTTTCTCTTTTAAGTATTCTGATGCTGTCAAGTGAGATCTCGCAGCCAGTTTGGTTGCAACAATTGGCAACTGTAGAGTTGGTGTAATTATACTTCACGGCTCTTATATGTTCTATAATATGGGTTTTAAATGCTCTGCTGGTTTCACCTATGTAATAGTATTTAGGATGGCACATACAAGCAAAGCTGTAAAAAAGCTTATTATTTAATAAAACGTCTATGTTATTATTAGTTTGTTCTTTGGTTTTTAGAGAATTTTTGATTTTATTGTTTAGAGTGGATGCTAAAATGATATTATATGATGTTAATATCCTTTGGATGTTTTCAAAAATAGTAGGGATATATACATACTATTTTTATACTTAAAATTTATAATTCTTATTCTATTTTCATATTTTATTTCATTTCATTTTTGTTAGAATTTTAGATTTTAGAATTTTTGTTATTTTTACATATAATTTTATTTTTGTATTCTTTATATTAAAATGTTTAAAATTTTAATGTTATATTCTATTTAAATATTAACATTCTATATTTGATATATTCTATTTTGAAACAGTTTATATAACCTAAGTTCCAAAAATCAGTCACATGATGATGGCCTGTACATTAGGCTGAAAACATTTGTGTATAGCAAATAAACGCTTCTCAGTAGTCCAAGATGTTTATTGACGACTTATTCTTTCTGTTGAGTATTGGTTCAGTTGTTAATCCATATACTGTATTTCCCCTACTTGTTCATTTATTTGGTATCCAGATCTTAGTAATAGACCCAACATTCAACCATAGTTATCAAATGGCTGACAAATTATAATCATCTTTGTTGCATAACTGCAACATCTGAGCAGAAAATTGTTCTTGTTTTTGAACAGGTTTGAGAAATCAAAGAACTCATCTTGTAGAAACTTGTGAGATGTTAAATTGTCAGAGGTTAGTACTCATGGATCTATAACTAATATGAACTTCATTTGTGATAGCATAGATGGTAATGCTCCTGTCTGACAGAACCTGGGACTCAACTTTCTGCACAGTTTTCTCATTCACCAATGTTTATAACTTCCACTTCTGGATTCATCTTCCAGGCACGAATCACCAGTTTAAAACAGTTTTTCCTTTTGTCACCATATCATATGACAGGCACTCATTTCTATAGACTGCAGACATCTCAGCATAGATGGCAATGACAGTTTTCCTCCACAAATTCAGGGAATTGATGACAGATGTACTTCCAACTTATTGATCATGGCATTTTATTCACTTAAAGTCCCTCTGGCAGTCGTGACAGGAAGTCAAGTCACACAACCGACACGAGTCAAAAAGTCAGAAAATCTTCAGGCATAACCTGTTAGTAATAATTTTCTTTCTGTGCAACATGAAAAACTTTTTTATATCCTTTGTATCTTCAGATCACTGAACCTCTGCAGCTTACAGCAAAACATGTAAAATGTATGTTTCCAGTGATAGAGAAGCATGTTTTGTTATCCTTGATGTTCATTTTGGTGTTCTGGAAATGTCTGTTTTGGGATGACAGATTTAATAATAGGTTAGTGTATGTGGGATCAACCAAGCGCTCCCTTCGTAAACGTCTCCAGGAGCATAAATATGATATAAATAATAATAAGCACACCACCCTTTCAACCGTAGCCACAGAACCTGGAATAACTGTTGATCTACAGAATGCCCGTCTAATTAGGCTATCACATCGTGTAGACCAACTAAGGATTATGGAGACCTTAGAAATTTATAAAGTGGAATTAAACAACACATGTATTAACTCCAAAGACACAGTCAACATCTCTAGTGCATGGAAATTTTGCTATGAAGGAACAACCCATAATTGGATGTAATATGGTTTTATTACAAGCGCAAATTACGCAAGCTTTGATGTCATCGAAGCAAGAGCGTGGTGTTCTATATTTTTTATATTAATGTTGACGTTCTAGGATTTGAATCGCATTTATTCGGTTCCTGTTCGATTTCGTACTGTTTGAATTTATTATAACAGTGGCCTGAAGAAGACCCTGGTAGGGTTGAAAACGTTTGCCAAGAAGAATAACACTGGAGATTGAAAGGTTTTTATTCAGGTGAAGAGAGTTCTGGAAATAATTCACAATTTAAAAGCAATGTTAAATAATGCTAATAAATATTATTTTAAACATTTTAAATAAGCTAGTTTAATCAGAAAACACATTTTTAAAAATTGATAAAAAATATATTTAATAAGAATTTAATTGACCATTTTCAAAATAAATCAAATTTCTGACATTTCCAGCAAAGAAATATATGAACTTGACATCTTTATTGCTAATAGCTTTAACAATAACTTTTAAGTAAAAGTCAATGAAATTCTTTTCCATAAAGTCCATTAATATGACTGACACAGATTTTAGTCAAAAACAAATTTGAAGTAATGCAGAATGCAGAATTAGTACAAATTATTATTAAATTCACATTATACACATTAATACATTTCTTTCACTTAAATATACATTTTTATAAATACATAGTTAGATAAAGAATATTGTTAAAGACTAAATAATGAAAATTTAATGCTTAAGTTGGCATTTTAAAACTGTTTTAGTTTTTCAATCAAAATACCATTTAATCAGAAAAATTCCAATTACAGTTATCAGTTTTAGTTGAGATAAGATGTATGACTGATTAATTAATCGCTTTCCTGAAGTCTTTGTTTCTCTGAATTATGTAAAAACTTTTTCTCCTTAATTTTCATCAATATTCTGATTCACTGCAAACTGAAGACATCTAATTCAATAATATTTATGCTTTCTTAAATACAAGCAGTCCCTGAGTTGTGATTGAGTTACACTCTAGTTTCATCCATCATACGTTGAACATGAACTAAGTAATGAAAATATATCATTCTTAAGGCCACAAGAAGCTTATATATATATATACAGTAATGAAGATATAATTATAAGGCCCACAAAAACAACCTTTGATGTCTTTAGTTAACAAAAGAATACATCTCTCTCTGTCCTAGCATTAGTCCCGCTGTGGTGCAGGGTCCACTTTTTGGCATGCCAATCTCCACTTCTTTCGATCCAAGGTGTCCCCCAGGGTGACACCCACTAGCCACATATCATCCCTTATCCTGTCCATCCAGCATTTCCTGGATGGACAGGATAAGGTTATCCTGTCCATCCAGGAAAAATGGCCACCCATCTCAACCCAGCTGGACAGTGCCGCGAGGGCACTGTCCAGCTGGGTTGAGATGGGTGGCCATTTTTGCAACAGATTGTTCACTGCTTCTGACAACATGGCCATACCAGTGTAGGCGATTCTCACACATTTTCTCAATAATTGGCACCACTCCCATGATCTTGTGAACATCTCGCATTTGTCATCATCAAGTATTTGCAACATGGTCAAGTCTAGTGAGTCCTAATGACCAGCAAAGCATTTTCATCTCCATTCCATGAAGAGCTTGCTCATGCCTTGCAGTCACCACCCAGCCCTCTGTCCCATACAATGCCACCGGTCAGACGACAGTCTTATAGATCTTTGATTTGAATCAAATGGGCATTTTCCTGTCACAGAGGGTGTCTCCATCAGACGTAAGCAAGGAGCCCAGGTATTTAAACTAGATGGTTTTTGTGAGTTCTTTGCCACTGACATTGATAGTGCCAGAATTTTGCTGCCCACACTCAAGGTATTTAGTTTTCCCAAGATTCAGTCACAGGTCATTTGCCTCTAGGTGTTCATTCCATTTCTGTGTTTGGTGTTGCAAGTTGTCCTGAGTCTCACTGGTAAAGGCCACATCATCTGCATACAGGAGGGACCATGGGTGGGGCACTTGTATATCAGCAGTTGCTGTGTCCATACATAAAATAAAGAGCAGCGGTGACAGTGCAGATCCCCTGGTGAACTCCAACATTAATTGTAAATGATGGTGAAATTCCTGCAGCACATCTAACAG